GAGCAAATATCCGAGTGGACGTAGGGCATCTAGGAAAGCAGTAAAATGCTACGAGCCCGTTGCCGCCACACTACAGGGACAGATTTCGATCTCGCTAGGTGGAACATAACGTTGCTCGCTGAAATATCGCGCGAGCTTGCAAGCTCTCTCGGGCCGCGCTCGGGCAATACGGGCGCGATACGAGCACGCAATAGAGAACGACTCGACACGCATCGTGCAGCGCAGTCGTATCGTTGTCGAAAAGTCGCTCGGGCGTCGCTCGTCCAAGCTGTTCATTACAGAGAGAATAAAACGGCTCGAATCGAAGTCGGCTCCGACAATTAGGATCGCGCGCACGTGGCGCTGCATGTGTCACGCGACTATGCGTGCGGCGCATTAGCTCTCTCGCATGTAGCACGCGCCAGTTGCGACTCGGTTGCGGCTCCGCGCTCTGCTCGCGAATATCGCATGTACTCCGAGCGAAACGTGTACGCGTACAAAGCCAGTCGCGGGGACGCATGCGCCGTGCTCGCGACTGGTCACGACTCGCGCGGCTCACGCATTCAATAAAATCGTCCGATCGTGTCTTGGCTCGTTCGACTCGTTTCGAAGGCGACAAAAATTAAGAGTACAATGCTCGTGAGATAAGAGCGCGGCTGGCTCGTTCTTCGGGCTGCGTAATCGATGCGTGCCCCGAGTCAGCCAAGAATCGATCGAGCACGGACGATGCTCCTCGTCGTTTTCCAATCGATCGTACTAGCGAGCTCTGCAGCAGGCTTCGATCGATCGAAGCTCCTAGCTCGTACATCGACTAACGCCGACGCTCGACTCGAGCGTGATTATTTTCGCTTCGGCGAAATAGCGCTCTAAATCCGTGCACGACAAAGCAGGAAAATTACGCCGAGTTTAATTATCTTATGCGTTGGCGAAATAATTCCAAACGGCAGTGCTGTACGCGAACGTCGCGATGAACGATGTACGCTCTGCATACACGAGCGTGTAAAACAATTCCTTCGTAATTCGTCACTTATCATGTCGCACGAATTGCATAAATATATGTGCGCACAAGTAGCACTTTGAATGTAAAATTCTCGAATGGCTTTTTTTCTTTCATTTGTTTAAAAAAATATCGTTTATCTAGAATAAAGTTGAGAAATAATATAACGCGAGCCAGTGCGCGCGCAAGTGAAAATGTGCAGCGTCGCGCACGCACGCATTATCTTGGTTATTTTTGCAGGCAAAGTCGAGTGAGCGATAATAAATTTGCGAAAAACGTCACGGAGGAACGGCATGAGTATACAAGCTTGACAGTTGCTGCTGACACAAGCGCGAGCGTCTCTTTAGGAGATTTTTTTCGGAGCAGCATAGATCAGTCGCGGTAGCCGGCTCGATCGGGCGCTCTCGCTCCGCCACATTTCTAGCTAATGTGGCTGATCGTTAGTCATCGCGTCTGACTAGGCTGATGCGTGTACCTGCGTGCCGCAACTAACTCGAGACCATTTGCAAGCGCGTATGTGTACACGCATTCACGCAGCTTGGTCAAATTTTATATTATTACAAATATACAGTAGGGGCGCAGACATTCCAAATTGGGAGTGCATTACCATAAATGGCGCCATTTTTCACACGAATTCCCCACTCCTTTTTTTTAATAATGTAATTTCATCTATTTTTAAATAATTTACAATAGCAAATAGCCCAGCTCCCCCATAATATTTATTGAATAATCTGCAAACCAGAGTGCAGTAACCTATGTAACCCAGCTCTCGACTGCTGATGAACAATTAAACTACCACCCAAAGTGCAGTAATTCACGCTGCTCAGCTCGAGATTATTTATTAAAAATTAAACTGCAAAACAATTTAGAAAACCAAGTAGCCCAGATAACAAATACTTATAAACAATTAAACAGCAACAACAGTTAAGTGAGAAAGTCGTAACCAACTTTATTAGGCTGGTGATAACGGTTGACTGTTGCAAACCAATATAAAACTTGAAAAAACAGATTGTGTTTGTTTTTGAATAATTTTATTTTAAAGAATAATTTTTTTTAACACTCGCCAGTTGGGCTACGTGAATTACTGTACTTCGGGTGGTAGATTAATTGTTTATTAGCAGTCGCGAGCAGCGTAAGGTGGGTTACTGCACTCTGGTTTGCATTTTAATTTTTTTAAATAATCTCGAGCTGGGCTACGGGGGTTACTACTATGGTTTGCAGATTAGGGTTTTTTCGTTAATTTTTCTGGGAATTTATGTTTTTTTCTCTTTTTTTTTCCTCCTTTTCTTTTTTTTCGTAATTTTTTTCGGCATTTCGGCGCCCCTCCAAGTCATTTAGGAGTGCCATGGCACCCATGGCACCCATACTGCGCTTGCTACTGCATATAAAGCCTACAAAATCAGAGCATAGATTCATTTTTTGCCTGCAACACCTGTTGAGGAATAACCTATAAATATATGACTGACTCTCAGTGAAGTAAAAAACAAATTTTTTTTCTGCAAATATGAAAAATTTGTTATTTACGATGTCAGATTTATCCCAAAAAATTTTTAGAAAAATTGGGGTCTTCTATGAGACTTTTTCAGAGGCTCAAAGTTGGCCATTTTAGCGTTTTTTCGAAATTCATTAAAAATCGCAAATATTTAACCCATTAAGTCCGGGACAGACACATTTTTGATACTTTTTTGAACAGTTATACTTTTGCGGAAAATGGTGTCTGGAAAACTTGCAAGTAAGCATATTCTACGCAAAATTTAATGAACTTTCCAAATCCGGTGTTAGATTTTCGATATCACAAACAAGTCAAAAGTTATGGATGGTTTTATAAAAAAAAAACGTGATTTCGAAAAAGAAATTTTTTCTTCTTTTCGAATTTTCCCATGAAAATCTTTTAAAGCCTGCGGCGTCTTTTATACAGATAAAGCGTCCATGGGTCCTTCTCTTAAAGTTATGCCGGTTCTTATTAATGAACTATGATTTTAAGTATCAAAAATTTGTCCGTTCCCGGCACAATGGGTTAATGTTGAGTTCGCATAAAAAAATGACAGCAGTTAAGGAACACATTCGATAGATGGTCTCGAAAATTGTAATAAAATCTGGGAACATTTCTAACATAGGAGACAACGAGTTTCTCATAGTTATAAAAAAAAAAAAAATTGTTTAGCCATTCGACTTGACTGAGAAGCGATAATATGTATGAAAAGTAACAAGCCGCGCTTGTATGTATAGGTATATGCGAACGTTTGTCGCTCGGCGCGTGCACGCTGATGCGAAAAAGCTCGTGTGAGCACGAGCTGTGCTCCATAGACGCGCTCGCGACTCTGCTCGATGTAACGGAACGATGTAAAGACTGCACGTCTGCAGGGGAGGGTGCACCGAAGGATGGGGGCTTGTTGTATACCGTACGCACACACACACACAGACGTATGCGCTCGAACAAGTGCGTCTGATAGCTCGCTATATTATATGTATACGAGAGCGTCGAGACTGCAGTTATCAGCAACACACGTGTATACGAATAGCGAGAGAGAGAGAGAAAAGAAAGGTGGAGGGACGGAGAGGTGAACGAGTCTTGTAAAACACGATTGATAATTCATTACGTGTGGAGGCAACGAGTGATATAGAGAGAGAGAGAGAGAACGAGAGCGAGCAAGGCTCCGTCTCCTACCTGTCTCTTTCGCACTGTTGGACACAACTCGAGTATGCAAAGAGCAAGGGACAGCCGGATAAGCTGAGCTGTTAAACAGGTGTTTTGTATATACACATACGCCGCCTGCATATAAACTCATGTATATTATTATTATGCTAGTCTCTTTATATACTTGGCTGTAAAAAAGGTCATTGTCGCTTCATTTACACTTTTACGGCGCATTTCACCGATATTTTTTACATAGCTCCACTACAAGTGCCGATGATCGGCATTACCTTTACGAACCAATGGATATAGAACTGACAGAATTACGATCGACGGACGAAAATATAGTAGTCGCGAAAACAGCTTCTACTTTGCTCGTTTGTTCAGCCTACCAAAAAATACGGCGAAACAATGTACAAGTGATTATATCTAGACGCGAGATCAAAATCAACTGCATCGTTACGAGCGAGCGCGAGTATGATATCTTGGCGGGCTGCCTTACCTTCTCTCTCTCTCTCTCTCTCTCTCTCTCTTTCTTTCTCTCTGCCTCCTCCAACTGCTCCTTATAAAGGCTAGCTTTCACGCAGTAATGCTATATAATGTACGTTTTACGGCCGCACGGAAAAATGCGTTAAGTAAGACATATATCAAACTTGAACGTTGGCAATATCTTCGCATGTGCGATCGTCTCTCATCTTCCTCTCTCTCTTTCTCTCTCTCTCTCCGTTTTATTTCAAGCCTCGAGCCTTTACTGATCATAATAAGCAACAGTGAAATAATGAAAAGCAAATATGATTCCCGGATTATAGTAAATATCTCATAAAACTGCAATTAACCTAATGATATAGGTGCGCGAAAAGATTTTTTCACATACGTCTCAAGCCGTTCACTGCATGCCAAGCATACCGAGAGCATCATCCAATCTTGCAAGAAGAAAAAAACTTTGATACGCGGACCGAAAACGTAACATCTCAGTGCTATCATTATATCGTATATTTATATGTACACAAGCTTGCTTGAGTTTATAGTGTTGTACGTGCAGAGACGCAAGCAGAGCTGCAGCTTACAGAAATGCGCGATGTTGAAATCGGGAGGCGCCTCGTGCCCTGTCCGACTCCCTCTGGTACTCTCGGCGTTGCTCCCAAAAAAATTGCGCTCCGTCTCATAATAATAAGCCTGCGCGCGTCGAGGTCCGTAAGACGGACAAGCTTCGCGGATCGCGCAGCCACACGCATGCAGCGCATAGTACGAGCGGGCGACGTTGCCGCGAGTAGCGCGAAATATGTTTTATATATAGAGCGCGATGAGACGAGGCACGTGTATATATTTACTTTTATTATGTATATATGTATGTATAACATGGTGGTTCGTTTGGCGCATTGGTTACAGCAGCAGCAGCAGCAGGGTTGCGGGCAGTACAGACATGGGAAGTGAGCATTACTGCCTGAGGTGGAACAATCATCAGAGCAACTTGCTGGGTGTGTTCAGTCAGCTGCTGGAGTCCGAGTCGCTGGTGGACGTGACGCTGGCGTGCACGGAGGGCCCGTCCATACGCGCCCACAAGGTCGTCCTCTCGGCCTGCTCGAGCTACTTCCAGACGCTCTTCCTCGACCATCCGAACCGCCATCCGATCGTCATACTCAAGGACGTGCGCTTCGCCGAGCTGCGCACCCTCGTCGACTTCATGTACAAGGGCGAGGTCAACGTTGAGTACTGCCAGCTCTCAGCTCTACTCAAGACGGCCGAGAGCCTCAAGGTCAAGGGCCTCGCCGACATGACCAACATCAACGCCGCCTCGAGCACCGGCAATCCCATCAAGCAGGAGTCCGTAACGGCGAGCCTCAATCCATCCAGCCGGCCGGCCGTCGACTCGCCTCCCCTCGCGGTGCTGAGGCCGCTGCCGACGTCCGCCTCGACGCCTGCCTCGACGCCCCCCGTTACGACCTCCAGCGCCATCAACACCGCGTCCACGACCACCACCGCGAGCAGCTCCACGACCTCGACCAAGACCACCTCGGCCCAGAACAACGCCAACTCCTCGACGACGAGCAACTCTCAACAGCAGCAGCAGCAGCCACAACAGATTCAGTCAGAGAACATGGCCCAGAATAACGACAGCACCAGTAGAGAGCACGAGCGACAGCGACGCTCCAGAAGCAGAGACCGGGAACGCGACCGAGAACGCGACCGAGAACGCGACCGAGAACGCGACCGAACGCGAGATAGAGAGCCCATAAGGGACGAGACGAGCCGCGAGCGAGACGCTCCGCTGGCGGCCCATCATCGGCACAATTCTGGCCACACGACGACCTTGTCGCCCAGCAGGGACGATTCCGATAACCAAGACGCTCCCGGCTACTCACCGCCTAGGAGGACACGAAGTCAAAGTCCCTGCCCGGGGCCTTTGGCTCTCGATCGGCCTCGTTCCAGACGCGACTCCGACTCGCCCGTCAGTCAAGGGGACACAAAGGGCTCCATCAGTCCCATATCTTTGCACAGTGGGCCTAGTGACATGAGTCTCAGTAACAATACCAGCTCGGCTCAGGCGACCTTGCCGAGTGTCATTGCCGCCGCCGCAGCGGCTGGCTTGTCAGCGCCACACAGTCGGCTTTCGTCCCCGCACAGTACCGAGCCTCTGGCGGGACCTTCAGGACTTCCACCTGTTCAGCAAGTGCCACTTGTGAGTATTCTACTTCTCCTCCACTATCAGCTGATTCCTTATATTTCAAGCACTTGATTTCAATATTTATTTTTTTTTATTAACATTGTTATTGTCATTACTTTCATTTTCTCAATTATTTCTCTCGATTTTTGATGCCGAAATCAATCTTTGATATTCTCTAATATTTTAACGTTTATTATACTATGACTTTTTTAAGTTTGAAAAGGGGTTCATTTGTAATGTTTTTTTTGCAGTCTCTGAAAAAGGAAGTAGACTGGGATCGATCAGAGGATCGAAGTGCAAGCAGTGAAATGTCCAGTGACTATCGGCTGCCCCCAGATCCGGTAAGTTCTATTTTCTTCTGCATTTTCAATTTGGATATCTTATCGACTATATTCTTGTTCTTGTATTTCTCTCTGCTCTGCATATAAATATACATATTTAATATTATATATATACATAAAATAACAATTTACCAATCAATATTATTATTCACTATCATTATTACTATATTATTATTGTTATTGTCATTGTTACTACTACTTACTACTTACTACTACTACTACTACTACTACTACTTCTACTACTATTGTCTTTACTATATATCGTTATTATTGTCATTATAATATATATTAAATAATTATTTATTTAATTTTTATAATTATTATTATTATTATTATTAATACAATCTTTGGTATTGTTTGTTACTTGTAATAAACATTTGCTCTGCCCTGCTCTCGTCTTGTAGGCGCTTGCATCTGCAAACGGGCGACTTATTTCGTATACTTTCTTCGTCATTTGCATATATTTTAACATGTATATGCGTATGAATGAAAATAAGTAGATATTTTTAGAGCTACCGGCAAGGTCGTTTGGTTGCAGATGATAATGCAGCGTATATGATATAATTTTCAAAGCGCAGAAACGCATATAAAAATACATATACAGCAGAAATTAAGGCGCGATAAGCACGTCTTAACTATTATATTTACACTATATACTGAATAATGTTGTATGTTAACACTTTGCTCTGGTGTTTTTTTTACATAATCTAATTAAAGAAAATTGCTTTTATCGATAATTTAGTTAAAAATTTAGAAATAGCGTAAATTTTATTCTTTAAAGTCAAAAATATATTCGAATTTTCAATTCGTGTAAGTGCTCATTTTTTTAAAATATTTGTGAAACCTCAAAATTTGATGATACATGAATGTACGGAAAACTCTACACAGTGATATCGTGAATCATATTTTTGCATGTTGGTCTTTTGCTGCATGAGCCCACTATTTTGCTATTAGTTACGCACTATCACAATCAAATTTCATCACAAAACAAAAATCATGATGTCTCAATTTGTAATTTTTTCCTCTCATGTTCTTCGGGTTAATAAACATTTCAATGTCACTGTTACGAACTTGCAATAGACAATATTATTTCAATAGATAAATCATATGGAAATAAAAATGTTTTGAAAAAATCAAGCCAAATTATAAAAATAGAAATTATGCCATGGTGGAATCTGAACGTGATTACGAATTATGATGATTAAACGTTTTACCTAAAGCTGTTAGCTACATATATAGATATAATTCATAACTGTGCAAATCCTAATTTGTTCTTTTGCTTTAATTAATTGTTTTTTTTTTTTTTTTTTGAGAGAGGTGCTGAAACGAGTTCAACAAACATTTCAAAAACCTTTTGCCAAAATTTTTCTTTTTATTTTCCGTTTAAAGCCAATCACTCTAAGAAAAACGATGATTTTTTCAAGAGCGTATTGAATGGAAATGTTAATAGTCATAATGTTGATAAATGTTAACAATTTTTTTATACTTTAGCATCTACTCAAGCTTAGAATTTAGATTTATTACTACTTGATTATGTTTCTGTTAGACATCTATCATCAAAAAAATTCTCTAAAATGATGACTGTAGGCATTAAAAGTTCGCGTAAGTTAAGAGCGTGTAGTTAAACATATCCTCGAATTCAATATAGAACGTCAACTTAATGAACTAAACTGCGAACGCGCTTTTATTTTTGTATAATTGTCCATAACTATAACTCAATCGATAAATTATTAATAACTGTACTTTGGTCAGGTGAATGTTGTAAGAAGTTATTATCAGAGAAGTTGACATTCCTTTTTGACATGTACCCTGTCTTTGTTATACTCGGTAATGGAAAGTTAAAAAGAATACGAATAAACGTACTTTCATTGAAAAATATTTATTGCTCATCTGAACTTTTTTAGTGGAACCTTCGTTTACTATTAAGCTCAAAGATTTTATTTATTTTCAAAAACAATTACGCTCGCACACATAAAAGCTCACGACATCCTATGCAAATCGTTAACATTCTCTTAATTGCTCTAAAAATTTTCTATTGATCACCATATTTACTGACGTGTTAAGTTCGTATTTTGCCATACACATGTATCATTTATCTCTTTTACTTTATCACACATTCTCATTTATATTATTATACTCTTCTATTATATTATATATTTGTCTTACGGTTGGTGTTTGCGTTGAATGCAATTTGCCTTTGCTCTGATGCGCCTTACATTATTATATATCGCAAAAAAGTATATTGTACAAATTTGTGATATTTTTAATGTACAGGGGAACCAGTAATAAACAATAAAAGCTCCGTTCAAAAGTCCATTAAATCACTTGGTAAATCGAAAGATTTTAATTATAGAAAATTTTTTATTCGCTCTTGCAATACACAATTACAAGTTAGCATATTTTTCTAAACTCGAGTGAGAGTTTGGACTTTGGAGCGGCACTTGCTGCTAAGATGTTTTTGTTCGATTGTTAGTTACTACTTTTCTATGCTATTTCTTTTCATCATCTACTTATTAGCAAAAAAAATATTTACTACACGAATTTATTGATTATCACTACTTACTGTTCTTTTTATCCACCATCGAAACTTATCGATTATGAAAAAAAAAACAATCTTCTATAAATTACAGAAATATTAATAATTAAAATTTTTGTGACTATTATATTTCGCGAACGCGCCAAACAAAAATGAGCGTCAACTTCTTGTGTTGCTGCCATGCACCTTTTTGTGTATATAAAAATGTAGACAAAAATGAAAAATAAATCAATAAATAACTGCTTCTGAGACCAATACAATGATAGAATAGAGCGGAAACATGTGACATTTCTTGCCATAATCCTAATGTACATACACGTCTAGAATATTATTTACACAAAAAAACCAAACTAGCTTGCGTGTTTGAAGAAAAAAATCTTTATTTCAAACGGTGAGATTTGAAAATTGACCGAATTTCTTCTGGATGTTCTTTTCTAAACGAAAAACACAGAGTGCACCTGCTCTATGTTCTATACCTATATCTTTGTCTCTATCTTCTCTGTTTTCATACTAAAATGTTGCTTCATCTGAAAAATTTCTACTTTTAGAACTAAAAATTCAAAATTCGAACTAGAAAAGTTACCACTGTAATTATCATTGATCTAAAAGAGATAGAGAAAAGTAGTTACAATAGAAAATTATGTATTATTAAAAAATTCATGTTGATTATGAAGAAATTTGGTGAAGTAAAAGAGTAATATTAGATGCTAAAAACTAGATACCTATGATATGAGCTTATCCAATCGTTATTGAAAGGAACAAAAAATGAGCAAACATCGAAATTAGCTCTTGTGCACATAGTTTGCCTGACTAAAAACACTGCACAGCAAATGATTATATTATTGTCTCAATACCTTTCCTGAAGCTGACCATCATCCAAAGTCCCAAACCGAGGCAAGAGCAAATTTCGATGATCGTAACGCGTTTAGAAACCCTCTTCTTCCTATTCATAGAGCAATTAGTTATATTTCCGAACTTTCACAAGCCAGTTTTGATTCTTTCAGAGGCGTCCATCTGCATTTGGCAGGATATTAAAGAAACAAAGCATGTGAAATTTCGAAAATTGTTGAAATGATAATATTAGCAACGACACTGTATCTAGAAACACTAGCACAAAACAATGCCTTCTGAACAACCAACACGTACAAAACGCTAGAGCAAAGAGAAAGACAACAAACATATTTCGCGACCATAATATACGCTTTTTTTAAGTAAAAGAGCTAAATCGCGAGTCTGTAGAAGCGCTGTAGAGTCAGAAGATGCTTGTTAAATAAGAATAATTGAACAATAGAGTACGAAAATAGTCATTAGTTCGGTAGCTAAGTGAACTTTGAAAATGGTTACGAGTTAAAAAATGTATCTCGAGTTGGAGCATTTGCAAGTGCTTGCGCTGACGAGAGAAGAGCAAATGTTTAGTAGTGAACATAGTTTTTGATAAAAATGACGATAATAATAAAGACAATGATGTATGAGACGTAGTGGCTAAGAAGTAAAATGAAAGAAACAATGCCAAAATAAAAAATCAAAAAAAGCAAAGAAAAAAGAAACAGGCAGCGAAAGTGCAATAGCAGGCGCGCGAGCCAAAAGGGCAGTAAGCGAGCAAGCAAGAAGTTGATGTGGAAAATTTTTGTTTGGTTGCAGGAGTTGATGGGTATGGATGAGCGGGTGTTTGCGTGCATGTACTGCGGTGCCTCGTTCCTGCACCAGTCCAAGCTGACGCGGCACATCCTCTCGCACAGCCTCGAGTCGCTCAAGTACCGCGAGCAGGCGGCGCACCTGCAGCTTCAGGCCCAGCTCGGCCTGGAAGCGACGGGTCTGCACCTGCCGCCGGAGGCGCACTATCCCCCCGTGGGGGTCGGCCCGATCGAGCCGATGGACCTCGAGCTCGCGTCGGCCGTGCACTCGGATCCCTCCTCGGGCGTGGTGCTCTGCAAGTTTTGCGGCAAGTCCTTCCCCGACGTCGGCTCGCTCATCAGCCACCTGCCCGCGCACACGGGCGACCGGCCCTTCAAGTGCGAGTTTTGCGGCAAAGCCTTCAAGCTGCGCCACCACATGAAGGACCACTGCCGCGTGCACACGGGCGAGCGGCCGTTTCGCTGCTCGCTCTGCGGCAAGACCTTCTCGAGGTCGACCATCCTCAAAGCCCACGAGAAAACCCACTACCCAAAGTACGTGCGCAAGTTCCTGTCGCCCAGCCCCGTGGATCCGGTAGTAGCGGCGGTGGCCGCCGACGAGGAGGCCTCGGCGCCCAGCTCCCAGAGCAACCAGGCGCAGTCGAGCCACCCGCACCTCCAGCCTCACTGAGCTACGGCCAGACGCGCTGCTGCTGCCGCCGCCGCCGCCGCCGCCGACGCTCACGCCAACGCGTCCTCCTACTCTACTAGCAATAACGATATCTTTCCGAGGGAGTTGCCGTTGACCGCCGAAGCAGCAGCAGCAGCAGCCGCCGCCTCCGTTGCTACCGGTCGATCGCTGCTTCCCGACATTGAGCACCAGCTGCGCCACGCGGCACCCCTAGCCTTGTATCTCACGCTGCTGACGCGCTGCACTCGATGACGATAGACCTCTCGCCGCCGCCGCCATCGTCGCCATCAGCACCAACGCCAACCTGACTCCGCTCGACCGATCGTTTCTCTTCGAGCTTTTCTCGGAAACAAAAAAGCAATGGTATGTTCATCGTCGTATCTGCTGTCGTCGTTTACTGGTTCTTCTTCATCGCCGCCGCCGCCGCCGCCGTCGTCGTCGTCATCGTCGTGATTTTCCTTGCAGTCGTGCTCATCGCGCTCCGGCATTTGTTGTTAAGTACGTCCTGCTAAGTTCAGACGTATAAAATTAATAGGATTCACTTATATGTATATTGTGCGGTTATGTAAATGGAATGTTAAGGAAAGGATTGCGAAACGCATACATTTTTAATGACTATACACATATAAATATATAAATATATTATATAATATTATAATAATGGGGGGTTTAGTGTGCGAAAGCCGCGAGGTACTTTCTAGTTAGTCCTGTGATGATTTTTTCGTTAGTTGAAAGATTATTGTAAAACATGCAAATACACACATTTACACGAAACAATTTTCAACAGAAGCAACACTCATATTCGTGACGGAGGAGGTTAGGTATGAGCTAAGCTCTGTATCTCGGGATGATGCGTCGAATACGCATTATTTGCACGACTTACACACCGTGACCCTAACTCGTTAAAAGGGGCACGCTAAACAAATTATTCGAACGAAGCGGGAATAAATGATAAATATAAAAATATAAATATATATCACAAAAATTATGAATATAAATTATATATACATATATATATAAAAAAATTATATATATATATTGTGCGCGGATGCTCCCTCGCTTAATCAGTGCTTTAATGACAGATGAGAAATTAGGAATTTTTCCAACCAAGAAAGGTTTACGAGTATAGGTAATTATTATTACTATCAATTCTACTTTATAACGACTATACAATATAAACTCGAAGACGCGTGTTCTATTTAGACTATAATAATAATGTCAGTTAGTTTTCGACACCGTTCATTTTCGAGTAATTACATGAAAATACATGTATAAAACAAACAAATTTATATATGTATATATAATACACACGCATGAACATATGAACATAGGTAAACCTGATGAGGATTAACGTCATTGTGATGCAAACATTCGAGATTTTCCGTAATGCACTGCACATTCGCTTATCGTCAGTTATGAAAAAACACAAATTTTGAAAAAAAACTCGATAACTTATTTGGTGCAAGAAATGTACTAACTCGAACCACAAGACATGGTGCAACAAACGAGAGAAACACGACAATATCGTTGAAGTTTAAAGTTAAGTATACACGAAGCAAATTATTTAGGGTGAGACTATCAGTACGACAGATTTTATTTTCTAGTGATTTTTATATAGACATTCTTTTTAACCTTTTTTCTCTTCTATTTGAAATAATTGTAAAAAATCTGGTGCGATAAAAGTATTACTTGAGATCACTTATTTTCAAAGTTTAATCCTTTTTTTGCTGGTTTAAAATTAAAAAAATAGTTATTTGACAATCCCACCGTAGAAAACTTTTGTAATATTTGCGTCATAACTTCCAAATAAACTCCATAAAAAAGTCTGTATTGAAATCCAAATTTTTGATTTCTTAAAACTCAAATTTCGCTTTTACTCAAAAAATTATTGTATTTTGCGAATGTATTTTGAAGTTGGCTTGAGGAAAAATTAAATTTTTGTGCTACCCCAACCTAAAGTAACATTTTACTCTCGCTGAGCAAAACCAAAATGTTACTTACTAGGCTGGGGAATTCACAAAAAATTGTATTTGCACCTATGTAGCGAAAAAAGAAAGTCTCGGAGCACGTGATTATCAACCTCGGCTTCGCCTCGGATGATACATTACACGTGCTCTGAGACTTTCCAGTTTTTCCCTCCCTAGGTGCAAAATATACTAATTTAGTCTACTAGTGCAATTCTCCGTCTGTCGTACGTGAACAAATTGTTGGATAGTTTATCCTGATTTTGACTTTTAGAATTTTTCTACTTATTCAATCATAATTTTATTGCTTGAGAGGTCTCTAAAAGTGCTATTTGTGATTTTAAAAAAAAAAAAAATATTTCAAAAATCTACGTTTTTTTTCTTAGCTATACGAAAAAATTAAAAAAAATCCCTAGATCTGTCGTACCGCTAGATCCAGCCTAAAATTGATGCTAAATTTTGAACAAAAAACTATCTAAACGCCGTTAATTGAAAATTCAATGCAATATTTCTCTTAGAGAGTACTTTGAAACATGATATTTCCACAATTTTTCCCCTTAGGTTCATCCTTCATGAATCTACAGAGCCTCAAAGTTGCATTTTTAATTTTTAAATTTTATTCTAGTTTTCTGGGGTAAAAATGAAAAAAAAATATCAAATCATGATTTTTAATGAGAAATTCAGTAAAGAATTAAAATTTTAGTCAAAAATCATACTTATAACCTCAAAATCTCTTAAATATGGAAAAACAGTACATCAGTCAAAAAATTAACTTGTTTCAATACATCCAATTGGTCAGAATTAAAATAATTCTTTGAAATACCGAAATACAACTTTTGCTAAAATTTGGTCATCGGCCGACTTATATATACAATTTGATGAAGGAAAAATATAAATAATTATCTTCGAAAAAACAAACAAATCTGAATTCCTCATCAAATTTTACATCAAAAATGATTATTCTAATATTTGTTCTTATGCAACCCAGAAAAGCAGAATAAAATTTAAAAAATGGGAATCCAACCTTAAGGCTCTGTAGAACCATAAAGTATGGACCTACGAATCTAAAATTTTGGAAATTATAATTTTTTAATGTACTCTATAAGAGCACATAATTAGTTTCAACTTTGTCGCTCTTAATATGGCTTTACCCATACATACATATATCTATACATAGGCGCTAATATAAAATGATTTTATTGGGGTGAAAGTTATCGATTTTCTCTCGCTTGTGATTGTCGACATTTACACAAAGACTAACCAAAAGTTGCTTTATATACCCACATATACAAAGCGGTTCGATGCTAGAAAGAAATTGATAAAAAATAGGAGATGTACAGGGATACCATGTAGAGCCACGGCAAGACGATGCTATCACATGCTCTGTAGATTAGTTGGAAAAACAAAACAAAAAGTTGACAATTAGACAATTTAACATTTCAAAGGTTCAAATGTATCGAGCAATGCATTGTTATACATACATAAATATATTGAAAATATGAGCTCTCACCAGAGTACGATGTAAAAAGGGTTTACGAGGTGGTTGTTATGTGCAAGTAAATCGATTATACGTATTTTTAATTGCGACTGATTGAAATGAAGGAATTGGGGATCTTAAACTTATCCAGGATTATAATAAAAATACATTATGGTATTAAGTATATAACACGTTATTGTGGACTGAGTGGTATATACTGTTCATTGTCAAGAGCAATATTTTCCTTAGACCAAATATGAAACGTTGTGTCTAGTATGAATCACATAAATTATGAAAAGATGCTGATAAATTTTTTCGTGTAAGACAAAGTCGAGTTTCATAAAATTAATCAAACATTACATTGACCGACCTCAAAAAGTTTAATTTGTAGTTAACAGTGGATCTCGAGTAGATGCACGCTGTTTTCGACATTTCTCTAGAACGATCTGGGTAACCGATTTTTTTCTGAGAACGAATTTTAGTGATTTTTTAACTGTGTGAGTATGTTTGAGAGTTTGAATTTAACGACACCTGACGATACGGTTTTCAGCATCTTCGGCCAGTGCAATATTTATACGTATACAAATTTCACAATTCCGTTTTATATACTCAGTGAAAGTTTTTGTGTTAAGCTATCAAAATCCTCGCATTTGTTATAATTTAAAAAAAAAATTTTCGAGTCGTTAAATTATATTAGCCATCGGAATGGCGTTACGTATTACATGATGATTGCACTTTTTATACCGAATCAGCTATATAATGAATTATGTTTTTTCTCATATTTTTTAAGGATTATTCGCTACTCAGTACCTACGTTACTTTGTTCGATAAATTTACTTTTTACCCATCTACCTGCCTCATAAACATTTTAGTGAGTAAATATATATTACACCAGAGGACGCATTGCAACACAACACTGCTTTTTAACGCGAAAATCTTGTATTGTAACGAAAATATAATAGTTTTGCTAAAAATGTGTTCTAAGAATTGGATTAACAATTTACAAAAATCATAACGGACGCAAGGAGAGCAAAAATTGGTTTATAATTATTTATTGGTTTAGGACGCGTATTTATTTGTTCTAAATTAACCATTCAAGCGTTGATTTTTGAGGTTTATTAATATTGAAGAGAAAAAAATGTAACTTGTGACGTTACGCTTATATAATTATAAACAATTTTCAGAATGATCTCTACGACCAATTCGCGGACGTGAACTGAATTACTCGAGACATTTGGTACGAATAGTGTCAGAGGTTTTCTTTCAACCGCTACTATAATATATACTTTTCAATTGGTGCTCATGACTTGATGAAACTTTTGCAGATAAAAAAAGTTTATATTAGCTAGCGATGAAAAGACAGAGATAAAAAAATTGTTCCCCGATGAAGGGGTCATCGCGTTGATTTACGGTTTTTTTTGCAGATACTCGATATTTACGTAATCGTTTGAAAAGCTCGTGAATATTTTGGCAGCATTTTTCGTGGTAGATTCTCTTAAATATATTATTTCGCGTACGACTTAGCATCGAAATTAGGAGAAGGAGCTCGAAGCTAACAAACGGGAAATAAGCTCGGTTTAACAGGCTGCTTACAACAATTCGCGTTACTAGCATTGATCGCTAGGCATTTAATCGTGTTAACTTTGTCGAGCTACGATACGTAATATTGTGGCGTTTCGAAAGCGAGAAAAACATTTATCGAACGATAGCTAAATAAAGAATAATCGGCGAAAACTGAGATTTCGTTTTAACCACGAAGAATCGCGGTGGAAAATTTGTGTGTTTATAATTTATGTACTCGAATGATATTTAATACGCTAATTAACTTTTATCAGTTTTAAAAAAGTTGCCTGAGTATTTAATGTGATGTTTCTTTCTGTTTACACGACGTTATATAGTAGGATTTTA